ACAAGATTAATAATCGTAACGCAATGGATATACACATCAAAGGGAGAACAAATAAAAAGGAACGCTGATAGACAGGTGAAGATTTATAATCATTACTTCAACGTTGGATCGTTCATGCATTATCTATAGCGTAGAACCATAGTTCTACGCTATAGATAATGGAGAAATTTATTAAGACAAACCGAACTCGGCTTCCGATCTACCTATAAACAATGTATGAAGATTAAAAACGTGTCAATATACAAATTGAAACGTCAGTTCTATTGATTTGTGGGATCTGCCCGGGGTCAGGTTACGGGAGTGAAAATTCCACCGCTCGTATTATCTGTTTAGTGTATTAACAAACGAATTATGTTTAACGATGTGTCGTGTGAAAAGGTATTTATCTTAATTTTTAAATTGATGGTTTATTTTAGGAATAATATTTGAAGGTTTTATTTATTAAAGTATTTTTTTATTTTTGTTGCCTATGTGGGTGGACGAGCTCACAGCTAACCTGGTATTAAGTTGTTACTGGAGCCCATAGACATCTACAACGTAAATGCGCCACCCACCTTGAGAAATTAGCTCTAAGGTCTCAAGTATAGTTACAACGGCCTACAATGCCTTAAACACGTCATTTCGAATTCTCCCGGTCCACTCTTGGGGCTTTTAGGTTTTCCAAGCACCGGTCACCGCTGGACGTGAGCCCGCAAACACAGCTTACTGAGTTTCTCACTAGATCTTTCTGATTCCGATTGATAGATTCAGCGAAGCACTGCCCTTTCTAGGACTAATGTTAACAAAGTCTCTCTCAACGAAGCCTCGTGAGCTCGCCTACACATCCGTTGAAGCCAGAATAGCGCTTCGAACATGCAATTGATTAGAAGCATCTAGAACAATTCCTCAGAGCATTTCCTATGAAAATTACCTTATGTATCTTAATATAATTACCCTAGAGATTATTATCATAAAAGATCCTCTAACTTTGAATAGTTCTTCAATGGTCCTCATGTCTGAAAGTCATGACCAGCCCCATCCAAAACTTTCATGCTTACTATGATGTGCCATCGTAGCCTATTATGCTCAGATGCTCTAGTTACTCCCAAAGCACCTTAGACATTAGATCTGGCTCCGAATACATTAAAACAAAAAAATAAATTGAAGATATCAATTTCAATCCCGTGAACAACCTAAAATAAAACCCACGGTTTAAATTGATTTAGTATTGAATATATATCAGATACCCTCGTTTGTCGACAAATATAATATTCGAATAAAAACCATTTAAATTTAATCTAAATTTATTGTCATTTATAAGTCAAATTCATCAAGCGAGTGTAGGTGTAATTTTACTACTATTCCATATAGCATTACGGAAACAATCAATGATATCAAAACCAGTTAACAATAGAATTTTATTAAGTATTTTTCCGTGTTTTTCTATTCGGCAAGGATATGCCTTCATTAATTTTATGGCACATTGAGATCGAAACAATTCAAAGAATGCTGCGAGCGGCTTAAAAAACTGTATACAAAAAAATTATGGAATTCTTACTGTATTTGGTCAAAACTTCTCAAATCGTCAAGATTTTCTATAGAGTTATTATAAATATATAATAAATGAAAAAGAAAAGTTAAGGCTGACGAATCTTTATGGATATATTTAAAAATACTTCTACAATTTACTCCCAAATTAAATAAAAAAGGGTGCGTGTACTTATTTATGTACGCGCGTAAGAAGTTATACTTAATTTTTTTTTTTTTTATTTTTTAAATATTAAATAATTAATAATAAATTATTTAACGTTAAAAAATTAATGCTAATAATACTTTTTTTACGAGTGTACATGCGCGAAAGTTCACCTGCGGCTATATTCAGACTCGCCAAGTTACGTCGGTCGTATTGTAATGAGCGATTTAGTGGACAACTTCATTTCTGTTAACTTTGCGTCACGGTGCGCGCGCATCGTAAAATTTCACTCTCACCAATTTTTCATGACGCGCCTAAAGAAGTATAACTTCAAAAATACATTACACACAGTATTTGGCACAGTATTGTAGATACGAATACTAATGCAATGTAACTGTAACATAACTGTGACGCTGTGTCGGTGACCACAAAAACTAAATATTCGGAACTTCAAAAATATTAGAATGAAAATAATAAAGGTTAGATTAAATCGTAAAAATAAAATACTTCTACAGTTCGAGAAAATTGAAGAATATATTATCTTCAATGATAAAATTAATCCGGATTATAAGATATTGGAAATGTAATTACAGCTTCTACGAACTATTACATACATGCAACTGCTTTTCCATGATCCGTCCCAAGCAATAGTAGTGTAAAACCCAAGCAACACTAGGCGGATAGGAACATTACCTATCCGCCTAGTGTTGTTTGCTTGTTTATGCTTCATCCTAACTGTTAATTTATTTTATGTATGTAAGTATATTGGAATATAATCATATGGTGATTTCATATCGTGTTTAACGGTTTAAATATACTAGTGGTCCCGCAGTAGTCGAAATTCGACTTTAATCAATTGAAATTTTATGTTTAAACATTATTATGGTTATAATGTCAAATACTATTATACTTATTTAATATACTGACAGATTTCGCCAAAATTACATTATACATAAATAATAATAAAGACCAACAATATTCATCTATTCTCAATTTGACCACAGAGCTTAAACACTAACAAAAGTTTGTCAATTGACAATAAACAAATAGTATATTTATATACATATATGTGTTATGTCAAATACATGGTAGTGTGTGTAATGTTTTCTTTGTTGATCTATTGTACCTTTTATGCATTATTTAAAAAAATTATTAGCATTGTGCACTTCTTCTCTATACTTTCTTTAATACTCCTCCGTCCGCGCAATTTTCGTAAAAAGGGATACAAAATTTTTCCTTCACGTATATTTAAATAGATTTATTGTATGTATGTATTTTCTTTAATAATGTGTTGTTAATAGTATATACCGCAACATATATTCATACACCGCATCTTTATCTGTCCAGAATTTCGGGTAATTAAACGTTTGTCTGGAAGAGATCGCTTTTAGAGATAAGACCGCCTATTGTACAAACGTATCTGCTTGTTGTCTGTTTTCTGATGTTAATTGTGTTTTGGTGTGCAATAAAGTATGTTATCTCTCTCTCTCCTTCTCTTCCTCCCAATTCTAACTTGCTTTATCTTATTTCGTCTGTCATTTTACTGCTGCGAATTCCTGTTTCAAAAGCAGTGCAATCATTATTCCAATACGACGAAGAATGTGAAACCAATACTATATTTCAAGGTTTTTTTCCTCCACCTATTCGCTGGTAGCCTAAGTAAGGGGCTATTCCAGCGACGCCCGACGCCGAATTTCTAGGTGGGCGTCGGCATTCACATTGTGATGACCAGCTTCATTTAATTGGTCGCTTTTAATTATTTAAATTACAGATTCTTTACGTAAATGCTCTGAAGCTATTCACCATAAAAGCAAGGCAGGCAGCGACTTGACTACAATATCTTATTGATCACTTAAATATGCCTAAAATTCGAATGTCCAGACCAGAATTGTAATTACATTAGCAACTAACAATCGTTCGTATTCTATTGATTACGAGGCAGAAGAAAGATATTCGCTTTCAGAAAAGGCTTTTGTATCGTTTGTAGCAAACGCTAAGCAACCGACGCACAATCCAAATTGTTAATTATCTTTTTACCGAGAGCTGCTGTTATCTGCTACTGGTGTTGTAACAACTATTATTATAGTGGCTATTATAGAAGCTTATAACATCACGTTCAATGACAATTATAATATACGATGATTCATTGTAGGCGTGTCTGTTGAATTTCAATAAGTGTTCACTATTTAACTTTTTGTCATTAGCCAAGTCTTGATTATACTAAACTTTTTACTGGTCGACTCTGTGTTTGATTTAGATTTTAATAACGAACAAGATTGAAGCCAATAGCGTTTTTATTGAATACTAGCGACCCGCCCTCGCTTCGCTTCGGAAACATTAAATTTTATTATAGACTAGCGACCCGCCCTCGCTTCGCTTCGGAAACATTAAAACACACATAAAACAAAAAAACAAAAAAATTTTTTTTAAAAAAAGTAGCCTATGTTCATCAGGGACAATGTTGGCTTCTAATGGAAAAATAATTTTTCAAATCGGTCCAGTAGTTTCGGAACCTATTCGAAACAAACAAACAAACAAATATTTCCTCTTTATAATATTAGTATAGATAGCTGAATCCCGCGATGTTGCCCGCGGCTATTGTCGTACCGCGGGTGACGCCGCGGGGCAAAGCTAATCTAAAAAAGTAGCCTAAGTTACTCCTTATATCATCAGCTACCTATCAGTGAAAGTCTCATCAAAATCGGTCCTGCCGTTCCAGATATTAGTCGGAACAAAAAGACAGACAGACAGACAAAAATTGTAAAAAATGTTATTTTGGTGTATGTACCGTATATACTATAGTAAAAAGCGGTTATTTCAATATTACAAACAGACACTCCAATTTTATTTATATGTATAAGTTTTTCCACGGCAGTCATGTTTTCAACACAAATTTCACTTTTACCTAATTGTTCATAGGAAGGAAACGTATTATTGCTATAACAAAGAATGTAGACTGTGTTCTAGATTCGAAACGGTATCGATAACCACATTGTTTTGTTTAAGATCATTAATTTTTTCAGGTGAACATAATATTTGAGCACATCTGATGCACAACTTCCTGGAAGTTGTCTGGTCTAAAAGTAACCGTCTGCTCTGTGCCTACGGGAAGTCATGCTCTTCAATGCGAGCACGATTTATGATTTGTTTTACGTCAGCAATTGATCGATCATTGAATGTTGAACTTTTTTGAACAAAGTTTTGTACATCGACACGTTTTTTTTACTATTCGTTTAAATAATACGTCTATTTAGCGCTAATTTTTTTTATAACAGCCTTCGATTATTTATTGTAATCTCCTAATAATTTTGCATTATATTGTTTGCAGATATTTTGACGAACACACTCCGGAATCGAGGTCCAAGTAACTAGAAAATGAGCAATGTTGGCGTCACATGAAGAAAATGAACCTCTTGTATTCAGAAACGATCAATCAATTCCGAGTTCAATGAACTTTGTATTTTTTTGCAATGCAAAAATCAGTGAAGTGACTCAACGTTGAAGCTTTTTAACGAGTGTGTATACGTTATGACTGTGATCTTGTGTAAATACTGTGTCACCAACATGCTATTTCAACGGACATTCGTTTTCTACGTTTTTGTTATGTAAGTATCTATTTTTTTATTGTTAAATTTGCGGTAGCTCTTCGTTTTTATCTATTCAGATTTTTACATAATACATTCAAAGCTATTTAATGCATTAAGCTACTGTAATGTGAAAATTTTAATAAATAAAACTTCAGAGGTGTCAAGGGACACCCGGATGGAACGAAGTTCCTTTCGATTAATTAGTGAAGGAATTGTAATTTTTTTTTTAAGTTATAATAATAAATTACGGCATTATGAAGAAGAAAAAAACAATACTATGAACTAAATTACTATTGTTGAAACGCTATCTCGAGAAACTGTACTCATTACGCGGACCAATCNAATTACTATTGTTGAAACGCTATCTCGAGAAACTGTACTCATTACGCGGACCAATCGGATACGAGCAATGTCACGCGATAAGCGCCTACACGTTGATTGGTCAGAATGACGGATCTAAAAAGTGTCGTGACAACTTTTCGTAAGAATTTTTTCCGTCTAGCCCCCTTTCACAACGCGCGATAAGGAACTTCGTTCCAATAAAAAAAAAAATTAGTATTAAGACTATTCATATATCCATGCCACCCATGATCGAGCACATTGGAAGAACGTCACCATGTGGTCGCAGTAGTGAGGGAATGATATAGAAGAAGATATGTAAAAATATTGCATTACAATTCAATTAATGTTAGTAACACAAAAGACGATTTCAAGTTAAAATGATTTATGATATAGCAACTAAATTAGCTTTGCATTATAAATAGAACCGAATATGTCAACCATAGCCTTATCTCATTCTCTTTTCAAATTTATTTAATTCCCATAAAGCTCAGCACAAAATTTATAGCGCATCATAATACGATCGTAAAATTAATTTATGAACATACTAAAAACCTTCAGTACCTACTTATGTTGCGAAAATTATTATCATTTTTACATGTAAGTTTTCGTAATCTCGTTCCAAGATCTCGAAACCAGAATTTTAATAGGCCTTACTTTAAACATATTACATAAATAAATAGGAAAAGTGAGACGAGAAAGTAACATATTATATATGCACAATAGTCGATGGCAATAATTCTTTTACAATTGTCATCTAAAATCATATTTACATCTAAGCATCGAAAAATACATAATGATTAAATAATAGGAATGTGAAGCTTAAAACTAAATAATGTTTTTCAAAGCTTGGTACATCTTCAAAGATTATTTTATCATCCGAATAAATATATAATATAAATATACACGTAGATCTGCATACATATATATGTAAATATATTCTAACTAATTTATGTGTATTATCTATGATATATTCATTCTGTATTTATATTTACTCTGTCCTTTATGGCGTGCTATCTCTGGTTATGTTTTAATTCCAGATTATATTACGAAGTGTTAATCTGTATTGCGTAATTGCGTGGACGGTATTTTATGAATAGTCCGCCAGCCGCCTGGTGGGCGATCCGGGCTACCTTTGCCACTTACGTACTGTCACCAAGAGAATGTGTAACATAGAGACGACAAAATGAACGGTAATAATGTAACGGATCGACAGTCGCCAAGAAAATGTCAAACCATAGATATTTACGCGTGGGCTGAAAAAACAAGAATCGATAGATAGATTAATGAATAAAAGCGTATTCTCCGTTGAACTTCAGCTATTCACTGTACCGCTTTCCGTGACAAAATGGTGAAACATACAAACGACTTAACTATTCGAACTTGCTCCTAAATATTTATGGACTTGCTTATTTCGAGTAGGCAGGTAAAACAAGAAACTGTCGCTTTCGTTTTATTATTAATGGTGAATTCAAATTATTATGAGTACTGTATCGTCTCGGAATACAAATTTTCAAAGCTTTAACTTCTAAATTGTAAACAAACTCTTATTGCAACCCCGAAACATAGCCCGGAACAGAAGCCGGGAGATGTACTATGTGATGTATGCACTAAGCGCTCAGCCTGTAATCCTTAATCCCTAAATCGGCCTCTCTTTAAATTCAACTCTATGGTGTGCTGGAGTGCATTAAGTGCCGCGCGACCTCGACCTTGTTAGTGCTCCGAACCGGATTTCCAAAGAAGGCTGCATTTTACAGTGGCTAGAAGCTGAGCGTAGCCCCTTCTACTACTCCCGGCTTCACGGCAGCGTATCAGTGATTTAACCGATAGACACAGCCCACTGAGTTTCTCGTCGGATCTTCTTACTGGGTCGCGTTTCCGATCCGGTAGTAGATTCTGCGAAGCACTGCTCTTGCTAAGGCCAGTGTTAGCAACACACCTGGTTTGAGCCCTGTGAGCTCACCTACACGTCAAGGAGAAACTGATATAGCCTCTCAAGGCTATCGGATACAGCTCTCTTTCATTTTCTGCCACTTTCTTCAGTGCGATGATGGACTGAAGAAAATGGCTCAAACCTGACGACGTTACTAATACGAACCCTAGCAAGAGCCGTGCTTCGCAGAATCTACCACCGGATCTGAAACGCGACCCACTGAGAAGATCCGGCGAGAAACTCAGTGGGCTGTATCTGAGGGCTTCAAACACGATGCTACTCCTTCTAGGCTAGGCGGAACAGAAGGTAAGCGAATTTTCTGTCGTGTACTCAGGAGAACCGATATCAACAGAAATTACCTTTCAGTCAGTTTGTAAGCTATTCTTGTGCCAATAACTCTACGTTCCCGTACGCATACTATTGCTACTTCATTCAAAAGTAGTGCGTAACGAGCAAGTGTCCATAATTTAGTGCCAGATTTCGGTAAACTTTATCTTGTAGCAGTTTTATCACCATTCTATGTTCTTGAATTCTAGAATAATTTTGACAAGGTATCTTCAATTGCTTGCACCTTTGTTTTGATAGTTAAATTAGGTATAGTTGTTTAAAGAATTATATGAGTAGTATATATTGATTGGGTACAAAAACAAGTCTATTATGCAGCTTAAGCATTTTTTTTTTGTATTTTAATAGGTCATTTGTATTTAATTTTGTATTTACGTTTTTTGCTCATATGGGTGTATGAGCTCACGACCTATTTGGTGTTAAGCAGTTACCGTGGCCCATAGACAACAACAACGTAAATGCCGCCATCCCTCTAAGACATGAGTACATCGGCTTCACCATCCTCCAAAAAACGGCAGCAATAGGCAGGGCGGTGGTACCTACCCCTGCCGGCGCATTAGACGCTCTACCATCGCTTATTCTTTAAATCAGTAGTGGGAAAACATTTTTAATGGCGGGCCACAAAGTTTAAGAAATTCTAGAGGAGGGCCAAAATTATAGAAAAAATGCATTTTGTATTAAAGCTTTTTAATAAACAAAATACCTTTAACTATTACTATTACGCCAAATTACAATTATTTTACTATACTATTTATTGGTAAATTACTATATTTTACTATTACGCCAAAGTACCTTTTACTAAAAATGAGAAGATTTTTAATTATAAACGTCAGATTTTATTTTACGCGCCAAAATGCTGACTAGTATAGGTAGTATATTAGGATGGATGGACTCTCGGCGGACCGGCTTAATTAAGCACTTCCGCGGGTCGGAGTTGGCCCCCGGGCCGTACTTTGCCCATCATTGCTTTAAATGTTATATCTTTTAGTTGTTAAATAAAAAATATTTGACACAATTTAATTTTATTACATTGTAGTTCAATACTACACTGATATCGTAATACGTAAACCTCACTAAGCATTTAAAATTAATTGTAATCTGATGTCCAAACTAACAACGGACTTGACAAATGTCCCACTGTAACGGTTTAAGTAATTGATTGCGCTTCCTGTAAGCTAATAGTCTCACACAATATATTGTTGTGTCAGATCCATTCTTTGGTAGTTTTCGGGCGGATTACATCACCGTGATTGATTGCTTTTGTGTTTGTTCACATGAATTGTAATTTGTCTGTAGTTCAGCGTCATCGCGGCTTCGTAATGTTTCAGGTTCGAATCTAAGCTTATCCTAGATGTTACTACATTTTTTTTATTGCTTAGATGGGTAGACGAGCTCACAGCCTACTTGGTGTTAAGTGGTGACTGGAGCCCATAGACATCTACAACTTAAATGCGCCACCCACCTTGAGATATAAGTTCTAAGGTCTCAGTACAGTTACAACGGCTGCCCCACCCTTCAAGTCGAAACGCATTTCTGCTTCACGGCAGAAATAGGCAAGGTGGTGGTACCTACCCGTGCGGACTCACAAGAGGTCCTACCACCAGTAACTATATTTTTTTATTTATGTTTTTTTTAATATTAATTGTGATTTGGTGAGCAATAAAGCATATTCTCTCTGTCTCTCTCTCTCTCTGTGTGTGTGTGTGTGTGTGTTGATTGACATCTATACTAATATTATAAAGAGGAAAGATTTGTTTGTTTGTTTGTTTCGAATAGGCTCCGAAACTACTGGACCGATTTGAAAACTTATTTTTCCATTAGAAGCCGACATTGTCCCTGATGAACATAGGCTACATTTTTTTTTTTTGGTTTCATGTGTGTTTTAATGTTTCCGAAGCGAAGCGAGGGCGGGTCGCTAGTTAATTATAAAATACATACATATCGTACCGCATCGAGTGAGCTACATTACTGTTGTTTTATTTAATAACAAACTGTCCTGTCTTCAGCCATTATCTTTGGGTTTTTTGGGTGATATATAGAACATAAGACGTAAGTTGATTTATATGGCTTTTCAAAGTCTAGTCAAAGAAGTGACCCATTTATTCGGTTTGTGTTCGCACAACTAATGCAGTCCCGACAGTTGCTCCAAAAAAAGATTTATTGCTACGTAAAAATTATCTGTGTGTTAATTGAAAATTGTTCTATTCTTGTGCGTCATTTTAATAGTTTATAAAATAATTGTGATTTTGTACTAAATAATGAAGGTATTGTGTAATTTCCTGTTACGTTTTTGAAATGGTTTTATTTTTTTAATCACGACATCGGTATTTAGCTCGAGCATAAGTTTCTTGACAATACAAAACCACAAAGAAGCATATCGTTCGTCCATCGCAATAAAACC